ATAGGAAAGAAGGAGCAAACTAGACCAGAGCACCCGCCAACCACCCACTATTCATTATTTATATACACGTAAGGAAAACAGTTAAAACGAAATATATTAGCACTTACTAAGAAATTACTACTAAGAATTAAACAAATGAGTCTAGAGCAATCCCTTAAAAGTATTAGGATTTGTTATTTCTCTGAGGCCATGGGGCAAGGCGCTCCAAATTTTAAGGACTTTAGGCATTTGTCAATCAAAACTGCCTCAGATGGCCATCCGTTGTTGGGGAGAAAAATAGCTGTTTTGGGTAGGTGGATGTGTTATTGAGGTGGCCACTTTACACGAGTGGCAGTATGATGTAAGAAGAAATACGCAGGGGAGGAAGTGGGAAGCATATTGGAATCTTGCAATAATAGGCCTGGGGCGGTCCTTCTGCCTCTTGGGCCCCACTCTATGCACCCGTGTGAAATCACGATCTTCCCAGCTTTTCTCCGTCACTTTTCCAAGTATTTCTACTACCTTTGTTCTTGCTGTTTGCAGCTCCTCCCTCAAATCCTCCGGCACACCATAGAACATTAAATGTTCCCTCCTACTGTACCTTTCTGCCATGTCCATTTCCCCTTCCAATCTACTAACGTTATCCTGCAGTGCAGCACATTTCGCGTCAACTTCTTCTATGTCAAGATATTGCACGTGCTGCTGTTCCTTAATTTCACAAACTGAATTTTTTATTGAAGCTATTTCTATCTCGAAGCGCTCCAACTTTGCTCTAAAGTTCTTAATCTTAGTTTTTAATTTCAGAAAAGTTGTTCTCACTGTACTTTCGAAAGGCTTTAAGCTCCTCTCGGATCTCCAAGCTTATTTCCCTTGACTCGTGATTTTCCACACTTTCGGAACAAACTGTGGGCTACTCACAAAATAAAAATGTTGGGAAGTGGATGTTTGTACGTGAGGTGATTGTCTTATACAGGTGGCCACTAGAGCAGGTTCGACTGCACGACTAAATAATTTGGGTAAATTTTAAAGACAACAACTCTGATTTAACTCTGGTATAAAGCCATCTAGGCATTTCACTCAGAAACTGGGTTATTGTGTAGCTCAGTTCAGGTGAGAACTCACTTTTTTCGGCGAACTCATCAAAGCCCTCGGTGAGCTCCGGTGCTCCTTTCCATGTGCCGATAAAAGCGTCCATAGTGACTGTGTACAGAGTTGCTTCTGGGGATGAAGAGAAGGGAAATATCCTGGGGAAAATACACAAATTTTTATTATTTAATACAGACAATGGTTTGTTTTTACTATAGGCACCAAACGGGTCGTTTTATTTTGGGGATTTTTTCTTTTTTTCTTTTTTTTGGTGGGGGAAGGGGGTTGTTTTTTTGTTTGTTTTTTTAGTTTTTGAGTTTGTTTTTGGTTGTTTTTGTTGTTTGTTTGTTTTGGGATTTTTTGGGGAGGGTGGGGGTTGCTTTGGTTTTAAGACTTCTAGTAAGAGTTTCACGGCACTGGTAAGACAA